GTTCAACAGCGTCCCTGTTCATCGCCGGGAATTGGCGCTTCTCCGAGAAGGAACAACGGGAAGGTCGACCTTCTGACCGACATGTTTTCCCTCTTAGGATTGGACACATTGTGATGCCAAAACCTGAGAGGCAGGTCATCCACATGTTGCTGTTGTTGTTGTTGCTGCTGTTGCTATTGTTCCACCTACTGTTGTTGCTGCTGCTGCTGTGTTGTTGTTGCTGTTACTGTTGCGCCTGCTGCTTCTGCTCACGGTGGTGCTCTGGTGCTGGTGCTGTTGCTGTTGTTGTTTTCTTCTGCGGTTGCACTGAAAAAGATTGGGTGATTCGATGCATAGATACGATAGATAGAGGAAAAGTGAGCTGCGTAACTGCAGGGCCATGCAAGGTTTGTCCACAATTGTTGACATCATGTGATCATTGTTTTTTACAATCATGTTCATTCCATAAGGTGTGATATGCTACCGTACGAGGGTCCACTTACATTCAAGTTCTTCCAGCCTTGTTGACATGTGGAAAAATATGAAAAAATGCAGAACATTAGCAACGCTGGTGTGTTTTCTTCTTCACGCAGCTAAGTGACATCTGGGATCCTTTTTTTTCACTGATGGGTGCCACAGCCGAGAACCCTCGTGCTTAGGACCCTCGTGCCATGCTGGTCCCGCTCTTGAGTACTTGCGCTCCACGTTGAGAGGCCGGGACTGGGTGTAGCGGGACTGTTCAAGAATCGGTGTACCGGAACAAACAACCGGTGACTCGCCTGCACAAACAGCCTCTCGATCCTTCTAATTTAATTGTTTATGTCTTGAGTTGCGGAGTTGACAGACCGAAAATGGATGTGTCACTAGGTCTACAGTCTGGGAAAGGAGGGGCCCACATAGGCCCACATCGTTGGCCAGTCGTATTTTTGAACATTTGTCAATTTTGCAATGTGAAAGCCAGTTCAACTGTGAACATGACCAGGGATGGACCATGAACCATGAAGCACGGAGGAATGACCATGGCCATGGATTGTAGGACATGCGAGGACATTTCGACCCGGACCCCTCGCGAGGCTGAGAATTTGGAGACTGCACAGCGAATCTGCGAATTCGTCTCCAACCGGCGAACTGGGGGGCTGTACAGCAACGAGCTGCCATGAGAGGTTTTGGACTGAAATGGGAAAAGCAAATCCAACAGCCAACAGCCTACCCTAAGAAGGTTTGACCCCCTACATTTCCCAACTTATAATATATGCCTTGAACATCCTTGAGCAATGTTACGAAAGCCAGCCTTCGTAGAAGGCGCTAGCGGAGTTGTGTCTGGCGAACGAAGTGAGTAGTTAGGGGGTCTGGGGGGGTGGCCCGAGAAAGGGACACGTCAACTCAGCACATGCTGGGGGAGGAGGGTGCTCCGAGGGAAGGTTTTTTGAGGTTGTGTTGGAGGTGATTTTTGAGGGGTGGTGATGCAAGGAATGCCAAATGCATCATTTGCATCATCTGAATGGAAATGGAAAGGTGTAGTTGGCACCTTGCGAGGTAGAGAGACCTAGGGTAGCTATAGTGCAGCTACCAGGTATAGTACTTCAAGTTCCCTTTCCGTCAACCGCTTGAGAACCTCTACACACGCACAGCAAGCCACAGCCTTGAAGTCTCATTCGCGCTTTGAACTTGTATAGGTGTGTAAGAGGTATAGCAACATACTACCTGAGAAGCTGCAAAA